TTTATTAAAGTCTAAACAACATTAAAGTCTAATGTCCAAACAGGATTTAAAGCAGTTTTTCTAACTAACATTAACATAGTAATACCTGCAGCAGGAGCAGGGTTTGTTTTCTTTAGAGAAAGGATCACTCCCAAATAGAGACAACTGGAAATATGTGGAGGCAATATAAAATGCCAGGGGTGTGTGATGCTTTGTATTAATAAAGACATTTACTTCATAAATAAAACTAAAAACCTAAAAATTACAGAAGTGCAGGAAAAAGTTTCTCTCACAATTTCGTATATAGGGTTAGACCCCTGTTAAATCTTCAGATACTTCAGATTCACAGCTCCATCTCTGCTCTTCTGTAGTACAAAGTCTGGTCATCTGTTCGTGACCTCAAGCTGAAGCACACAGGTTTTGCAGCAGGGCAATTATCAAAAATAAACCATCAAGTCTGCCTCTGAATGTCTTAAAAGAAACAAAATAAAGAGCTTTTTAAGGCCTTGTCTAAGACTAAACTCAATGACGCTGAGATGGTGTGGCATGACCTTAAACAGACAGTTCATGCTCAAAAACCCTCCAATGTGACTGAATTGGAACAATTCTGCAAAGATGAGTGGGCCAAAATTCCTCCAAAGCTTCATAAAAGACAACTGCTAAAAAGACATTGCTAGTTAGCACAAATGCTTGATTGCAGTTGTCGCTGCTAAGGGTGGCCCAACCAGCTAATATATTTAGGAAGATTTTCACACAGGTAGGTTTGAAATTCTTTTTTCCCCTTAATAATAAACACCTTCATTTAGAAACTGCATTTTGTGTTTACTTGTGTTATCTCTGTCTAATATTTACATTTGTTTAGTGATCTGAAACATTTAAGTGCGACAAACATACAAAAAATTGGATATGAGGAAGGAGGGAAACCCTTTTTCACAGCGTTTTATACACCGCTCAAAAACATTAAAGGAAGATTGAAAACATATCAGAGTTTAATGGGGGGAAATATCAAACTGATATGGGTTAGTTATGTGCAATACAAAGCAAAATTCAAGGTGGTATCAACGATAGTGATCTGATTCTGATATTTTGTACATACATTTAATGTGTTATTACTGTATTTTAAATTATAGCTCCATAATTATTAGAGGACATCAGACTACTTGTTCTTATTGTTTAATTATGAAGAATTATAATATAGATATAAAGAACCTGAAGCTTTCTGTTAATTGGTATCATTATATCTTGTTATTTAAAATGTATATACTTGCCTGGACATTTAAAAAAAAAATCAACATTCACACTTTCCCTCATTCACAGCAGTGCTGTGCCACACTCCAAATTTTGGTAAATTTTGATCCAATACCAAGTAAATACAGGGCCAGTATTTAGGCAGCTAATTGAGGGAGAGTAGTGTGCCATTAATTAGGAGATGAATTCTCAATTTGCAAATTCTGAACACAGTTTAATCACCACCATATCACAATTGTTATTTTCTACAATAATTAGCTAACACAACAAAACACACCTTTCAGGTTTTAATGTGTTTTGAAACTGGGTTTTTTTCTGTCTCTATAGCACACAAAAAGGTTCCGCATTTTTCATAGTGCATGCTTGAGGTTTATTTTTTGCAAAGAAATAATTAACACAGTTCAGCAGGCTACATACTGACCTTGAAGGATAGAAGCAAAGTATCGATCCAGTGGTGCTAGTATCAATCCAATACCAATACTAGTGTTGGTATCGATAATATTGATATTTGGATCGATCCACTCACCTCTAATATCGGCCAAGTACTGTGTTAGAGACAAAGGAAGCCACATTGTTTGATGGAAGTTAACATTTCCAGCCTACACAGGGATTAATTCAAAGAAGCCCCACAAATCAAAATAGAAAAAATGATGCAGCAGGATATTTTTGCTCAAACTTCATTGCAGCCACTCAAAATGGTACTCAGTAGTTTGTATATCATCCGTATGCTTGTTCTCATGCCTGGCAATTTGGGGTATGGTCTTAATGAGACAGTGGATGGTGTCCTGGATCCCAGATCTGGACCAGGTCATTACTGAGCTCCTACATAGTCTGGTTATGTCAGATGGACTGATACATAATGTCGCAGAGGTCTTCCCTTGGATTTAGATCAGGTAAGCGTGGGGGCAAGTAATTGCCTACATATCTTTGCCACATGGCATTCTCGTGCACCAGGAGAAACCGATCACCCGCTGCACCAGTGTAGAGTCTGACAATGAGTCCACGGAATTCTTCCCGATACGTAATGGAAGTCAAGTTACTGTTGCCTGGCCTGTTTAATCTGTAGCTCTGTAGCTCAGTTGTCACCAAGTAAATGTAAAGTTTCACTGGCACAGACCTGCAACAGAAACGTTTCAAGAAGCACACGTGTCAATTAAAAGTATGGCAATATTAAGCTCATGCAGACCCCACTTTTTAAACAAAAGGACTGATAACAAAACAGCAGCAGTGATGATGTTGTAATCATTTAATGTGGACCTGAAGTCTGTCGGCCAACACAGCCAGCTCGTGTTAATTGAAAGAAAACATTTTTTAAGTGTACGAAAGAAAACACAGTGCTGTTTATGAAAGTACTGTTAAACCTTTTACTTGGACAAAGCTAGTGAGAGTCCTTCATCAAACCATTTGATCAACAAATGTGAAGAAAAGCAAACTTTGTAACTGCTCCATCCAGAGCTCTTCAAACTGAAAACTCTGCAGTAAAGCTACAGATGTTACATTAAAATATGAAGATGAACTGTTAATCTTATTATTAACTGTAGTTTACTTTGAAGTCTGAACTTTCAACACAAGCTGAAATAGAGACTCAGCGTGGTTCCAGCTTGTTGCTATGTCAGCTTAATTGCATGTCAGTCATGTGATTTGGAGACGCGGCACACAGAGTGTTAATAACACTCACCTTCATTCCTCTTTCAAAGTGTTAATGCTATCTTATCTTAATAAACAACACTTTCAAATGCAAAACTAGAGTGGCACTAGGAGTGGCAAGAGATCATTTCAGGGTGGCGCACGCCACCCCATGCCACCTCTCTAGATCCGCCCCTGTGCCGGTCCAGTGTGTGAGGCCAGCCAGGGCAAAGTCTACCTCTGCACCAGTACCCACCTTGCAGGTGGGAGCGACTGGTGCTCAGCAGGTGCCTGCACCCGTTCCTGCTCCCTGGAGGAAAGCAGCCAAGCAGGAGAGGTCGGGGGGCGCAAGGGAGCTGCTTAGCCGGCGCCGGAGGTCAGGGTCGTATCATATCATTTACACTTATCTGCTACAATGTTTAAATTGGTAGCTTGCTGATGGCTGACAGCATCCGTCCCAAATCACAGTCATACCTGGAGCAGGCAGGGGTGAATCTAAAGGGGGGCATGGGGTGTACTAGACCATATTTATTTCAAGGCTTTTAGAATATCGTCTGCGTCTCTTGCCTCATATTCCTGGAATTCATGTTGTCTCAAGTCTCGGTTTTTCTCAGGTTCAGGTGTCTCACAGTGGAAATTTGTGGTTTTTTATGGTTTGTATTGTCTTGATCTTAGTGTGTATTGGTGCGTACAGTACTGATTTTGTTTGCATGGTTTTACCCTGATATTTATATTCCATGTTTCAGTGTTTCAGTGTTTCAGTGATGTTAATCCACTGTGGACTGGGCGGACAATAACAGGCACCTGTTGAACTGTGGGCGGACCTGTTGCCTGATCTTGGGGTGCGACGGGTCATTCGCAGGCGGACCGGCCACCGTAACACAGCAACCCAGTCCATTCCTGCAAGAGGGGTGACAGTGGGAGATGACGCATGTAATCGACAGCAGGGCAGAGGTGCACCTATGCTTGCATAGGTATGTGAGAATCGCTTTCCCCACTTTTGTGCACCCAGTGCAGCTTTGTCAGGGGAGGGTCGCAGCGGCCATGCCGACTACGTAGCTGGCCAATGTCTGTCTGTTTCAAGGCGGTACTACGAGGGAGGCTCCGTTTACAGTAATCAAGCTTAAATTTTGGAGTGCAGCTGGGCTGTGCTGCAACACGCCCTTCAGGCAGAGACAGGGCCGAGATAGGAGGTTCCCCCATGGATTTCTGGCTTGCGTGGTCTCTATTTAAGAAGAGGAATTCCTTCCCTGGTTTTAAATATACGGAACATTCACCCGAGCGTGGCTGGACAGTAGTAGAAGCTGCAGCTTCACTAGTTCAGGTTATAGTTTATTTGTCGCCATTGCCTTTTTTTGTTTCTACATTTTTTTAACAGCCAGAATTAAAGGCTCGCTTTTTATTAAACTTCATTACTCTCCCTCTTCTTTTCTGCTTTTGGGTCCGCTCCTCAAACACACCGGCCACCCAGGACATAACAAACACATTATCTAAACTTAGCAGGTAGCTAGCATCCAACACAAATAACTTGACAAAATGTCTTTTTTTTATTGGTCAGAGTTCTGGCCTCAATAAAAGAGTGGCTACTTATCATTGATATGTAAAACAGTTTTGAAACTGGGTTTTTGGAGTCTGTCTCTAAAGCACACAAAAATGCCCCCCCCACCGACCCATGTGAAAATAATAAGCAATAGCTTTAAATGACAATAAAGTGTTTAGTAGCCCTGTATTTCGCATTGTTCAAATTTACATTAAGAGAATCTACGATGAATGTTTCAATAAATCTGTTTCAACAAACAAGTGTTATTTTCTTTTCCTTTCTCCAGTCAACAGATTCAGTGTAAATGTGTCTTTGTAAAGAATCTCTATCTGCACTGAACTTTCATACTGTAAATGACTGAAATGCCAACTTGGAATAAAGAGGAGAATGAGTAACATATTTGTTAGGAAATTCGCAGATTGTCTGTCACAAAACTCATCACTTAAATCAATCAAAATATTAAATAAGTTTATAAATACATTGACCTTAACCTGTTCCTCATTTGTGTAAATAAAGTTTTTATATTTTATAGGAACACAATCATTTATGACAGTTGATTCAACAGAAACTGTATCAGTTATAAAGTACATTTATTAAGAACCACCAATCTGACACAACAAACCACTGAATGGGCACATGCATGTAATTATGGAACAAATAATATCTTAAAAAATGAACGCACACAAAGAATCAGTACACAGAATCACTGACCACATGATTAAGAAATGTTGTTGTAAAAGCTGATAGAAACTTTGTTTGTTTTATTAGTTCTTCACCAGTGAAGTAAATCAGCCACAAACAGACACTTTATCATTCATCATATCATATCATATCATATACACAGTAACTCCACAATAAGTACAGAGTCATTGTTGTGCAGCAACACCACGCTATGATGTTAGTTAATGTAAACAGTAGGTTTCACAAATATTAACATTACTTTGAATTCTATACAGATGTTTCAGTCAGCATGCAGATGTTCACATGACTGATGTCCAAGATTTTTGTCCTCCTGTTGCACTAGTTTGGACTATGATGCAGCTTGATTCATGTAGATGGTTTCTGTCTCTGGTTTGTTGAACTGTCTTGATCTAAACCAGCTGAAGAAAAAAACAAATTGAAATGAAACTAGTTTTTGGTTCATTTCTGTAGTTATGAATAATAAAAATCGACTTAATCCACTCAAAATAGAAATGAAATTAACCCTGTAGCCTGTAAATAGTTATAAATGACTATCATAGAAGCAGCTGACTCACCACTCAAATAAGACCAGTGTGCTCACAAGCAGTATGATTCCCACAGTCTTCACTACAATGCAGACACCGAACAGTTTTCCTGACTGTTCATCTGCAAGGCAACGAGATTTTAGAGAAACAAAAAGATGAAATAAAAGAAAATTGAACATTTCACATTAAACACAGCCCCCTGAGGGGACACAACTATGATGCTTTCTATGTGACTTTGTCCTGTTTTCTTTTCACTCAGATAAATCTAACTTGGAGCTAACCCCAGTCGTCAGTTTGAGACATATTAGTCTTGAGTCTTAATTCTTCAGCTTATTGTAGAATAGTGTTACTAGAAAACTTAATATTATCACCTTCTGTTATTTTGTGACCATTTTTTTTAATTTGTGCATTTCTTCCTTTCATGATGAAAGTGGCTGTGCTGTGTTTTTTCAGCTAATTTAGGATAAAGTTAATGTTTTTATAGGCTTTTTACCGTCCTTATGAATATAAATGTAATATAATAAATTATAAAAAAACATTAAAATATGTTTAGAAAATGTCTGTATTTTTCTTGTCTCTTTTTTTAGCACTTTATGTAAGACAATTACTTTCTGACATCAATTTACAGTTTAACGTTGAAATATTGATGCAAAATGCATTTGATTACCACTTGAAGTTATATATGGTGGTGGTCAGAGGGCCTGGTGGTGCCAGTGTTTGGCAGCCTCGCCTATGTCAGTGCGCCCCAGGGTGGCTGTGGCTGCAATGTAGCTTGCCACCACCAGTGTTTGAATGGGTGGATGACTGGATGTGTAAAGCGCTTTGGGGTCCTTAGGGACTAGTAAAGCGCTACACAAATACAGGCCATTTACCATTAATGTTTGTTTTCGTGGACAAGAAAAAGGAAAATATGTGAATACAACACATCAGTAGCTTCAGCCTTTACCTGTAACAGACACACGAATCTCTGCTGATGTCTGATTACCCAGATCATTAGTGGCCACACAGTAATAAACTCCTCCATCTGTTACACTGAAGCTGTAAATCTCTCCTTCAGATACTTTCACAGCTCCATCTCTGCTCTTCTTGAACCAGGTGAAGCTGCTGACTGGAGGTTTGGCTCTGCTGGAGCAGGTCAGCTTCACCCAGCTGCCTGCTGACACCAAACCTGATGGACTGATGGATGTTGAGGTGTCTTTAGGAGCATCTGAGAAAAAGAAGAAAATGATATCTCATAAATTATGATTAGTTGGCAGGATTTTAAAAAACAACCTTTGATTGTCTTACATGAAACACTGAGAGTCTCTTCTGTCTCTGCTGTCTTGGTGTCTTTTCCTTGGTTCACAGGATATCTGGCAGAGCAGCTGATCTTCTTTCCATCATGTGTGTCTGACAGAGTGATGGTCTGCTGGATTTTAGTTGTAAAGCTTCCATCTGTGTTTTCCTCTATTTTGTTGTGAGAGTCTTGTTGGAGATTCCAGGTGAGTTGAGGAGGGGAGTGTGGACAGGGAGTGAGAGCTGAGCAGGTTATAGTGACAGACTCCTTCTCCTTCAGATCACCTGGGATTGTAATATCGGGCCTCCAAGGAGAATCTGTGGTTTAACATGAAACACAGTTTGTACACTGATAATACAGGAAAGACAGAATAAAATAATAATAATAATAATTTTCCATTCAAAAATCATGAAACTGAAAGGACTCAGCATATACTTTTTTAACTCTCAAAGAGCCAAAGAAGAACAAAACTGTTTCTCCAAACATTAACATAATGGTATTGTTTAAAAATAGAAAATAGAGAGAGAAAATATTTGAATAGGCATATTTATGTAACATCTGACCTGTTAATAATACAATTAGACTTTTCATTGGTTAATACTAATATCAAAAGTCTCTTACCTTTAATTGTTATTTGAACAGGTTCACAAAAAGCTGTTGATCTGAACGGCCAGTTCATAATTCTGAAGTAGTATGTGTTTGTATAATTTGTGATTAAATTGGAAAACAGAGTGGTGCAGCTTTTCTCCTTCAGGTTTCCTGTAATGTTCATTGGATAGATGTTAACTGTCCCACTGCTGTTGAAGATCACGTTTTCTGGATAAAGTTTAAAATGACTTTTAATCCACACTCCAAAGACAGGTTGTGTGCTGTCAAACTTTACTGGTCCAGCATCACTAAAGTTACATGGGATTTGTAAACAAGATCCACTCAGAGCTTCCATCTCTGTTGGTGCAGTGATGAACAGGTTTGTAGGATCAGGACAAGCAGCCAAAGAGTCTGGGAATCCAGAGAGCAAAATTAAAATGTGCAAATCTAAATGAAGAGAAATTCATATTTACAAATCTGACTTTAAGTGTCATGGGTTTGCTTTTTTCTCCTGTTCTTTCTACACCTTCGGTACAAAATGTTTCACTTAACTTACAAATATAAAATGTGTAACTTTGTAAAGTTTCTCTATCTGCACTGATCTGTCAGACTGTAAATGACTGTAATGAGACGGCTCACTTGGAATAAAGAGGAGACTCAGTAACATGATGCCTGTCATGATGTTCACAGACTGGACTGTCAGAAAACTCATCACCTGTATAAAGAAAATACATGATTACACAAATAAAATATCAAACTAGAAATGATCCTTTATAAGGTGTTTGGGTTTTTTGTAATAAACACAGTTAGTAAAATGTAAAAACGAATGTCTTACCAAATGATCAGACTGCTACAGACGAGAGACGACAAAGTAAAAGTGGTTTCAGCAGAAACAGAGCAAGTGAAACACTTCTCTGTTTAGATGTTGTAATGTCAAAGCAAACAGGCCTGTGACGCTTTTAGTTTTCTGTCTTTCTTTATTCCGTCAGTCTTTTTATGTTCCCATCAGGCACACTCCTGTCACTTCAGAAACTGCCACTCCTACCTGCCTGCTTCTACATTCACCTGTGCTGACTCTT